TATTGGAGTCCTGGTGTGGCACTGTGGGCTAATGTGTCAGACTGCAAAGTCGTTTGAACCGTAAGGTCAGTGGTTCAAGCTCACCAGCTGCTCTTTGGAAACCTTATACAGGGTTGCTATGGGTCAGAATTGACTCAGCGGCACTTAACAACAACAACAATATGTAAATATTTGTATAAGGAGCCATGGCTATGCAGTGGTTAAGCTCTTATCTGCTAACTATAAGGTTGGCAGTTCAAACCCAGCAATCAGTCTCTGACAGGTAGATGTGGCATCATGCTATGATAACACTGTAAAGTGTTAGAAATCATATGGCCAATTCTAGTCTGTCCTACAGGGTCATGATGAATCAGAACCTGCTTAGTGGCAATGATATAAAATATACACATAAACACACACACTTGTGAGGGTTTCAAATAGTTCATGGAAGAATGAAGTAGAAAGATAAAGCATTTCCCCAAAAAACGTTTTTTTTAAAATGTTTTATTGTGAATTATATGATAGTTTACATGGAAGAACATTAGCTTCACATTCATCCTATTGTATATCGTTTCCTTGCCATGGTTACAATCCCCTTCATGCATCATCAACCAACCAAAGGGTATACCCTGAAAACCTGCCCCCCTGTCATCAGTACACAGCCCTTCTCCCTCTCTGGGTTCAAAGTCCTCAGCTGCTCAGTTTCTCCACTCTGTCTTCATCCTTGGCATCACTGCCTCTCTGGGTAGAGTCCCACTCTCCATTCTTCTCACTTGATGGTCCCAGAGACCTCTGCTCCCGGCCTGCAAAATCAATCACTGTCTGCCTATTGTCAAAAAACCTCTACATTTCCGACCCTCACAGTCAGTCCTGATGGCAGGTATTCACTATTGTACCACAAAAGTCTTATCCCATTTCCTTTCACTAGCCCGGTCCCAACAGATTGGAAATCATTCAGTGAAGGTTCTGCCTACCCCTGTCGTGCCTGAACTAGGCTCCCTCTTGAAAGCTTGTAAGCCAGTCACTTCTTGTCTTTATAGACCCCCCATTTTGAGTCTGGGCAATTTCTAGCCCCCTTTAAGGTATTCCAGTTAGTTATAGGCTGAAGACGGTTTTACATGTTTTCTATTGTGATGTTTCTGGCTATTCCTCCCCCCACCCCAAGTGTCTATTTCACAATGGCAGGCAAGGGAGACCAATATTCAAAAGACAGCCAAGCATCCTAACAGTCCTCTCTTTCACAATTTTAAACCATGCCTCAATCCCTGTATCTTGAATCCCTGTTATTCCATCTAGTCTGTGCGAACCTACCTAAATGTTCTCCCATCCACCTTGTTCTTTTACCCTCCCTGTTCTTGTTGTGTATTGCAAGCCACCACCCCCAGCACCCAGGCTCTCCTGTATCTATTCCCTACACTGTACTCTATCTTACCCTTCCTCCCTCCTCTCCTTT